AAAGCTTTGAATATGCGTGGTTTGGAAGGCTTGGCAAATTGTTGTGTGCGTACGTACGTGCTTCTTTTCACAAGCAGACTTGTTTATATAGGCAAGGAAAAGATACGTTGTCCATAAAGCAAGTTTAATGATAATAACACACTTTCCTTTTGAAGAAGATCTTGTCTGAAGAAAGTCGTTAGCATTTAATTCTGTCTTGAATAATTAATAACGCTTCAGAGTCTTCTTTGCTTTAACTGCTGATAACGCTTCAGAGTGTTGATGACTTGGTAAAGATGTCTTTGTTCAGAGTCAGAGTGTACTTGTTTAGGAGCAGATTCTGGTCATCAAGCTTCAGCGTATAATCTGGTAGCTTCAGCGTGTAGCACATATTGTTGATCTTCTGATGCTGATTCCATTCTGATACTGATTCCATCAGAACTTCTGCATATACAAAACATAATTTTAAGGAGCATAATTGTTCTTTGTATATATCTTTGAATTTAATTATTCTTTGTATTTTGTTATCATCAAAACTCTAATCAAGGGTTGTAAAATCAAACTATGTTCTAACACTATCATCTCAAACGCATTCATCATAATTGTCTTGAACTCAATTATCTCTTGTTCAGAATTTCATGTAAGCAATATGTCATCAACATACAAACATACTAGAATCATATTACCTTCTGAAGTGTGTTGAACATAAACACCATACTCCATCTCACACTTCTGAAATCCTTGTTTCTTGAAAAATGAATCAATCTTCAGATTCCAGGCTCTGGGTGCTTGCTTCAATCCATACAAGGCTTTGTGTAATTTGAACACCATCCCTTCCTGATGCTTTTTCTCAAATCCATGAGGTTGTGATACGTATACCTCTTTTTGTAATGGACCATTAAGAAATGCAGATTTTACATCTAAACGCATCAGAGACCAATTCATGTTAGCAGCTATTGCAATCACTAGTTTGATCATTTCATGTCTTTCTACATGTGCAAACACTTCAGAGTAATCCAGCCCATACTTCTGTAAAAAGCCTCTTGCTACTAATCTTGCTGTGTGTTTTCCAATTGATCTAGCTGGCTTTAGCTTCTGCTTGGAAACTCATCTCACGCTGATGGCTTTCTTGCCTTTTGGAAGTTCTGTCAGCTTCCAAGTCTTGTTTCTCTCTATAGCATCAAGTTCTTCTTTCATGGCATGTAACTAGACTTGCTGCTTAAGATCCTCTTCCATACTCATGGGTTCAGAGTCTACTAACATTGCACACTGAATGACTTCTCCTTCGGAGTCTACTTTAGTGTCTTGTAAGATGTCAAACTCTACAAATATTCTTGGGATGCTTCTGACTCTTTGTTGCCTCTGAATTTGAACTTCAGAACCTCGGACATAGAACTTTCCCCTTCAAAAGCTCTTGCTTCAGAAATTGGAGTTTCTCTAGAACCTTGACTGTCTTCAGAGTCTAGAAAATTCTCAGAGTCTGAATCACCATCGGAGTCAGAGTCAGAATCATCTTCGCCTTCTGAATCTTCTTCAGAGTCAGTCTTTACCAGCTTCAGAAACATGTGTTTCTGACTTTTCTTCAGGAGTTCTCTCATTAGATTCAGGAAGAGACATTTCCCAATTCCATACTTCTTATTCTTTTACAATAACATCTCTGGTGAACTCAATTTTGTTAGTTTCTAAACAATAAAGTTTGTACGAACCTGTACTATGGTACCCCACCAGTAACATAACTTTACTTCTATCATCCAGCTTCTGTCTTCTGACTTCTGGGACATGTTTGCAACATACAGAACCAAACAACTTCAAATGACTAACATTTTGCTTATCTCCAGTCCACTTCTCAATAGGCACTATTTCCTTCAGCTTCTTCGTTGGACATTTGTTGAGCATATAACATGCAGTGGCAACAACTTCTCCCCATAGAGTATGAGGAAGCTTCTTCTCTTTCATCATATTTCTCACCATATCAAACAAAATACAGTTTCTTCTTTTAGAAAGACCATTGTGTTAAGGAGTATAAGGAGCAGTAACCTCATGCTCAATTTCATTCTCCTCACAGAACCTTTTGAATTCTGTGAAGTTATACTCACCACCACCATCAATTCTAAGAATCTTCAGAGTTTGGCCACTCTGATTCTCAATCTTCAGTCTGAACTTCTTGAATGCAAACACCTCGTGTTTAAACTTTATGAGAGATACTCATATCATTCTGGTGAAATCATCAACAAATGACACAAAGTATTTATTCCCTTCAATCGATGCTACTGGAAATGGACCGCGCACATCAGAATGCACTACTCCCAAGGTATGCTTTGCTCTTGGAGTTACTTCTAATGCAAATGGTAATCTTGGTTTCTTCCCTTCCATGCATACCTTGCATGATTTCTCAAGCTTCTTGATTGTAGGAATTCTATGTACCAGTTTCTTTGATTTTAGATGCCCTAAGCTTCTGAAATTCAGATGACCAAATCTTCTGTGCCACAGCTCACTCTCCTTGACAACACTTGTTGCACTAAGACATTCAGAGTCTGCAGTTCTAACATCCACCTTGAATATTTTGTTCCTTCCCTGTTCTGACTCCATAATTAGCTTCTAATTACACTCATACAGCTTCAGAAGATTGTCCTTCATGGTAACCGGAAAACCTTTCTCAATCAATTGTCCCACACTCATCAGGTTGCTTTTCATGTCAGGTACATGCCATACATTCTGGATCACTGCTGCTTTCTCATTGTTTAGAATGATTCTGAAATTTCCCATACCTTCTGCATTGAGATATTTATCATCAGCACGTCTGATCTTTATACTTTTCCCAAAGTCAAAATCAATCAACCATTTCATGTTTCAGTAAGATGGTTTGAACACTATATGTCCATATACCACCATTCTGATGAATTCATATTATCAGGTTCAGAAGCCAACAATAGCACAGGTTCATCATCAGAATCTCCTCTGGCTATATTTGCTTCTTCTGACTTCCTTTCTTTGTTCGACCAGCAATCTTTGGCATAGTAACCAAAGTTCTTGCAACAGTAACACTAAACATTCTTCTTGTCAGACTTCTCCTTTTCCTTCTGGACATTCTTCTGCCTATCAGAGTTTGAAGCTTCTGACCTTTGACCACCATTAGTTTTATTCCTGAATTCTGACCAAGTTTGCTTCTGATACTTCTTACCAGAAGTTACTTTCAAAGCATGTTTCTCTACTTCCCTCTCAGAAGTTCTCTCATTCATACGCAACTCATGCGCCTCTAGACTACTTTGTAACTCTTCAACTCTCATAGTACTCAGATCTTTGGATTATTCAATTACTACCACAATGTAATCAAACTAAGAAGTTAAAGATCTCAATATCTTCTTAATGATTACTTGTTCAGAAAGAGTTTCTCCACAAGTTTTCATCTCACTAGTGATCAGAATCACTCTAGAGATGTACTCAGAAACCTTCTCGTTGTCCTTCACGTTGAGATTCTCATATTTCTTTCTGAGAGACTGAAGTTTCACCTTCTTCACTGATGCGTCACCACCATAACATCTTACCAGTGTGTTCCACATGGACTTTGTTGTTTCAGAGTCAACAATCTTCTCAAACATGTTCGCATCCACATGGATGTAGAACAACGCCTTCTGATCTTTCTTCCTCGGCGCCTTCTGTGTAATCTTTTGAGCCTCTGTTGTGTCTGCTGCTAACGGAGCATAGCCATCGGTGACAATATCTAACACATCTTGAGAACCAAACAGCACACACATCTAGATCTTTCAATGATTCCAGTTTTTGCCATCAAACGCTGGAAACTTGGAATTTATATCGTTGTTTCCGTTCATCTTCAACCTTGTGCAATTCACTCAAAAAAATTACTAAAAGTGTTTCCCAAATCCCACGGAATCAGAAAAATGATTCTCAATAATACCTCATTGTTCACTCGTGTTTTCCATTTCCCCGTAGATTTCGAACTAGAGCTCTGATACCAATTATTGATGCACAATGAGAGATGAGAAACAAAAGAAGTATATTTAATGACGGCTACAAAATAAAGAATAATGAATTACAATGATCTACCTACTGTTAGGCTATTTATACACATAATTATGGTATAATAAAATACTAAAATACCCTCTAATAAACTTAATCAACAAGATATTCCTAAAATATAAATTAATTTCAACAATTATCTCTTATTTTCACTCACTAAATAATATTTAAATACACTTGTCATATTTTTATTAGAAACTATTAAAAATCACATTTAAAGAATTGTATCTAAGTTTTTCTCTTTTATAAAATTGATTTCGGTTGATTATGATTATTTTTAAAGATAATAAATCAAATATTTTTCTTCTTAAAATATTTAGTGAAGATAATATAAATTATGAATAAAAAGGACTATATAAAGAAAAATTGGTCTAATTCATTAATATTAATGAATCAAAATTGGTGTAACGACGGCCATTAATTCTCTTCATTAACAATAGTTCATAATCCTTCCTATTTTTAATGATAAAATGATGATATGATTAGTGTCAATTTAGTATAAAATACATAATTATTTTTATTTCTATCCAATCAATATTTATTAAATCACTATTTCAGCCATACATATAAAAATCATCATTAACATTTGTTTTCAGAAAATAACATATAATTAATTTCCTTCTCTAGCTAAAAAAACATCACTCCTAAAACAAAGGGTGGAGTAAGAAAAAGAGACAAAGTCTCACGTAATTTCTTGGTATTTTCAAAGTCCCCAACATAGAAACCTTACTATCATTATTATTATTGTCTAATAAAAGATTTCCTACTCCTACTATTTTGGATCATCAAGACTTTCCAACTCCTAACTTGGGAACATTTTTCAATCTTTTCTTACCATCTTCTCTCCCGCATCTCCCTCCACAAACCTCTCACACAAACAATCCTCAAACAAACACTTTCTGTATCCCTCTATGCAGTCTCACTTACATCAACATCATCAATATTTTTGTTACATTTTAATTTGTCTCTGAATACAAACTCTTATGGCATTGTTTAAGAGTCGAAACAGTAGGAGATCATCATCACCATCATATGTATCAACCCTGGTAACATTAGGATTTATAGCATTATGTGTTTTTGGTGTGTGGATGCTAAACTCCAACTCTAGGCTTTCACCTGAAACAGGCGAAGAAGAGAGCACTGCCACGACCACACGAACAGCCGTTGATACATCCGAAACCAGAAACAATGATTTATCTACCTCGGATGAAACCACTGCCAAAAAAACTGAAGAAACGGTAGAAACCACCACCGTCGTTGTCCCCAAAACTGAAGAGCAAAAGGAGACTTCTACGGCCGTTTATGGAGATAATCCCGGACATCTACCTGAGGATGCCATTAAATCTGATGATAAAAACACAAACAATGATCAAAACAAACAGCAAAGTGCTGTTACTGATTCTCAGATATCGGAGGAAAGCTCGATAATGCAAAAAGAACAAGTGTCTGCAATACAAGAACCTAATTTAGATGAGAAAGTTTCTGAGCCTGAGAAAGTTCAGCAAAGTAGCGTTGAAGCTGCTGAAGAAAACAAAAAGGAGGAAGAAGAGACTACCAAGCCTCAAGATGTTACAGAATCTAACGACGCGAATGCGGCTGAAAGTCAAGAACAAAGCACGGGACAACAAAGTTTTGACACACAAGGGTCTAAAAACGATGAAGATGAAGCAAATAAAGAACAATTAAGAGAAGACAAAGGCGAGAATGAAGAGAAACAGATCTCTCAAAGCTCTAAGGTAGAATCGGAGATAAATAATGGAAAGCAAAGTGAAGGTGAAGAAACAGTGAAGCCAAAAGCAAAGAAAGGAGGACATTCAAAGAAGACGTGGACAACGCAAGTAGATCAATCCCAAAACGAAAAAAAGAGACAGAAAGGCGATGAATCAGGAGGAAGTGAAGAGAAACAACAAGACTACAAGTGGAGTCTGTGTAATGTTACCGCAGGTGCTGATTATATCCCTTGTTTGGACAATGAAAAAGCCATTAAAATGTTACATTCGACAAAACACTTTGAACATAGAGAAAGACATTGTCCCGAGGATGCACCTACTTGTCTGGTGCCACTTCCTGAAGGTTATAAAACACCCATCAGATGGCCCAACAGCAGAGATAAGGTAATTTTGATTCAAAAGCACATCTAATCAAGATATCTAGAATTTGATAATGTTATCTTTAAAATCGAAAACATTGTTATTTCGTATGAAAATAGATATGGTACCACAATGTACCACATGTGATGCTGGCCGAGGTAAAGGGACATCAAAATTGGGTGAAGATGACAGGTGAATACCTGACATTCCCAGGAGGTGGCACCCAATTCATTCATGGAGCTTTACACTACATTGATTTTCTCCAACAGGTAGTTGCAACTCATATGTTCTAAACTAACCGATTTTCTAGTACTTAATAAATAGGATTGATAAATAGCTCAGAATATGAATTCCTATTTTGCAAATTATTACCTTGCAGGCTGAAGCTGGTATTGCATGGGGAAAGCACACCAGGGTGATTTTGGATGTTGGCTGCGGAGTTGGAAGTTTTGGCGGTTACCTATTTGAAAGAGATGTTATTGCAATGTCTTTAGCACCGAAAGACGAACATGAAGCACAAGTTCAATTTGCACTTGAGAGAGGCATTCCTGCCATATCTGCTGTTATGGGTTCTCAAAGGCTGCCATTCCCTAACGGTGTTTTTGATCTCATTCATTGTGCGCGATGTCGAGTACCTTGGCATGCAGAAGGTTGGTTTCACTAATGCTTATTTTGAGCTTAGATTTTTCATTTGGTCGAGTGATGAGGAATATGAAACGTTGTTTTTAGGTGGCAAGCTGCTTTTGGAATTGAATCGAGTTTTGCGGCCAGGTGGCTATTTTGCTTGGTCTGCTACTCCTGTATACCAAAAGCTTGAAGAAGATGTTGAGATATGGAAGGGTAAGATTACATATCATATCATATCTCTCTGTGTTATTCAGAAGATAATAAATAAGCAATTTTTATGTGTTTTCTTTCAGAAATGACTTCACTAACTAAGGCCATGTGTTGGGAGCTTGTAACTATCAACAAGGATATACTAAACAAAGTTGGTGCTGCCATTTACCGCAAACCTACATCCAATGAATGTTACGAGCAAAGAGAGAAAAACGAACCTCCGCTATGCAAGGATGATGATGATCCAAATGCTGCCTGGTAAATCTCTACTATCGCGACACTGACAAAAATATAGTTGATTTGATCAGTCATATATAGAACAGTACTAACAAAACATATTATCATGTTACAGGTATGTACCTCTGCAGGCATGCATGCATAAGGTGCCCACAAACAAGGCTGAGAGAGGAACCAAATGGCCTGAAGTTTGGCCTCAACGAGTGCAAAAAGCCCCATATTGGTTAAACAACTCACAGGTGGGGATCTATGGAAAACCAGCTTCTAAAGATTTTGTAGAAGACACTGAACGTTGGAAGAACGTGATGGACGAGCTGACCAACATTGGTGTAACTTGGGCTAACGTGAGAAATGTCATGGACATGAGAGCTGTCTATGGAGGGTATTGATTCAACCTGGAGTAAAACTTCTAAACATGTTTAATTTGATACTATGTGAAAGTTAGTCTTAATTTATAGTAATGTGGGTGCAGATTTGCAGCAGCACTGAGGGAACTTCCAATTTGGGTGTTCAATATAGTGAACATAGATGCTCCTGACACACTACCAATAATCTATGAGAGGGGTCTTTTTGGGATATACCATGACTGGTGTGAATCATTCAGCACGTATCCACGATCTTACGATCTACTTCACGCAGATAAACTTTTCTCCAAGATTAAAGAGAGGTATGGGTGGAAGGAAGTACCTTTTTCACCACCATTATAGAAAAACTCTGCACCATATTGATTCACCTGTTGTTTTGGCTCTCCAGGTGCAAACTTGTTCCTGTTATTGCAGAGGTTGATAGAATAATGAGACCGGGAGGGACATTGGTTGTTCGTGATGAACCTAGCATCATCAGCGAAGTGGAGACTTTGTTAAAATCTCTACATTGGGAAATAATCTACTCCAAAGAACAAGAAAGTTTGCTCTCTGCAAGGAAAGGAACTTGGAGGCCTATTACCATAGCTTCTTCCTGATAATGGATACAACATCCCTGCGTTAATTTAAGGTTTCTTCTCAGACAAATCTGAGAAGAGGCAGTAACATATATTCGACCTCAAGTCATCTACCTTCTATGCCACAACAGTTGTCAGTTTTATTTTTTTCATTACATATGTATATCTCAGTTTTCAGTTTTATTGTCCCAAGATACAGAGATTTAGGTTTTAGTCGTTCATATAACATATCTCTTGTTATTCTGTTATATATGTTTAGTGTTTACTTTAAGCACTAGTAAATTCCTAATGTATTAGATTGTTCAAAACAGAACTATTCTATTTTTTGTTTATAATACAAGACAATTTGATATTGGTTTCTTTGTAGGCTCATAAATTTCCCCTTTTTTATGTCATCAGGCCATAATTTGAGATTGATTCGATGAAACAACAATCCGAGAAAAATATTGCTGAACTCACCTTCAAGATTCATAACAGAAACTGACATCTTTTTAAAATATTTCCAAGATCAATACTTAGAACGTTGAAATGCGCAATTTTATAATTAATAATCACGTGAACGAAATCAATTCCAATAACTAATGATAACATGAACTCTTGTAGGTTCAAAGAGAACCACATCAAGCTGTAACTACATGTTTATCACCTAGTAAATACCCAAAAAAATACATTTTAAGAAAACCCAAAAAAAAAGTATTCTTCCACTAGAAGCTTGAAGCCTTCATTGTCCGTGAAAACGCGTGTTCCAAGTAAACAGATAAATTATAGATGCTAGTGCTCCACTCTCTCTAGTATACAATCAACTTGCTTTGAGAAGTTTCTGCAATTCACCACTCTGGACTGCAGCACTGAGATCTTTTTTGCATAAACGACAAAACTTTGTAAGAACAGATGGAGAAACCTTAATCTTAGGCAAAAGCATATATAGATAATACACCACAAATCTTCAATTTAGTCCCTTACGTATCATTTTCTCTTCTAGTTAGTGTTACATGAAAATAATAAATAGTCCCTAAAGTATAGTATGAATTTTTCCAATTAATACCTTCTTTTAAGATGCTAAGGACAAACATAACAAATTTTCATATACTTTAAAGACTAATGAGATAAATCTCCATGTACTTCATAAACTACTTATTAAATTCATGTTTAGAGACTAAGGCATTGTTTGGATTGTCGGATGGAATTAAATAAAATTCCATTGTTTGAATTAGTTAAAATCGGATGGGGCAGAACAGAATGATATCTATAGAATAAGAAAACAACTTTGTTCCGCCTTAAAATATCCAAACAAAGAAACGGAACCTCTAATCCGCTCCATTTCCACTCCACTTATTTTCATTCCACTCCGTTCGTTTTAAAATATTCAAACATAGCTAAGTTAAGAAGCAAAAACTAACCATCTGATCCACCAATATGCTTGCCATAGACAAATACTTGTGGAACAGTTCTTCTACCAATCAAATCCAGAAGAACACCCTGAATTTCATACCCATCATCTACACAACCACATAAACAAAAACAAAAAATTAAGAGCAACAACTAAACACAGGAAAGAAATACAACACAGTTGTGATTCACCAATACCTCGCAAATCCAGCTCAACCACAAAAGGCTTCTCATTCAGTTCAGCAAACACACGCTTAGAGCGCAAACAATACCTACCAAAATAGCGAAAATCGAATTAAACCCTAACTGTTATTGAAACGTGATAATAATTGGAATTGAATCGACACGTACGGGCAATATGATTTGGAGAAGATGGTGATTCTGTTGGAGTAGATTGCGTTTTGAACGAAAGCGGAAACTGAATTAGAGGCTTCGACGTGTAGTGGCCCATTACCCTTCTCAAACAAAAAAGGTGAAACGGACAAGAACGTTAGAGTGACGATCAAACTCCATCGAAAACTTTTCATTCTTCTCAGTGTCGTGTTTTTTGGGTTTTTTCCTCGGATAGTAATAACTTCTGATATTCCCAATTTGGAAGCTACAATTTGCCACGCAGGTTTCGTAGAATGCAACGTAGCCCGTATGTTTGTCGGGTGTCTACACGGTTTTCTTGTCTCGAAAATCAATCATTTTTTTTTACAATAATGGTACTTACTAAAGTAACTTTATTACTAATATTTTTGAAAGTAGTAGTAGTATAGAAAAATAATTATGCGACACATTTGACAAAATAATAATATATTTTATACGAAAAATAGTGGAATATTTATGCGTTCCTCTTCATATCGATATGATTTCCGTATTTGTTTTTAAAATAATTAAAATAAAATAATTTGTTTTTAAAATAATAAATTAATGACTATAATTCTTTTAATATATAAAAATATTTGAATTTATATATATATATATTATTTATATTTTGGAATTGTTGTCGAAAATATTTAAACTACTGATAAAGTTATTTTATTATTATTAATATTTTAATATATAATTTTATGTTTTCGTTAATAGTAATATTTTGATTAGTAATTTAATATTTTTGTTAATATTCAATATTTTGATCAAATAATTTTGTATTTTTATTAGTATCTTTATGTTGTCTTTAGTATTCAATATTTTGATCAGTAACTTAATGTTTCCGTTAATATTTAATATTTTGATTATTTACTTTATATTTCCGTTAACATTCAATAGTTTGATTATTAACGTTATATGTCCATTAATATTCAATATTTGAATTAGTAAATTCATGTTTCTATTATTACCGTTAATATTCAATATTTTGAGTAGTAATTTCATGTTCCCGTTAATATTCAATATTTTGATCAGTAACTTCATGTTTTCGTTAATGATCTGACCTGATCAGAAATGGACCGTCACGGCTGGCTCCGAGCAGAAAGCTTTTTGAACGAAGTGGGGGGGTACCTGCAAGGCACTCCGATGCTGAAGTAAGTAGGAGTACGAGCAGATAATAGCAAGTGTAAGGTTAGAATGATGAATACCTGACCCTCTGGAAATAGAGGGTATTTATAGCCCCCAGCGCTGGGCCAAGGTTCCTTCATTGGGCCGGGCAGGTTTGGCCCAATGGAGGAACTGCCAGGTTCTACGTGCGTAGTGGGGACCCGCACGTGGTCCCCTTCCTGGATGTCCTGCGTGAAGTGCGGGCGTACGGAGACGCGGTCTTTTCGGGGTATCGTTGGGGGAACAGTAGACTGAGTCTGCCCTAGTTGGGGTGCTCGAGGTAATGTCGAGCTGGACATCAGGACGTGGAGCTGGACCGCAGTATGTCGAGCTGGAGGTGTAGCTGTCGAGCATGCGACTACCCGTCGGGCACGGTCGTGACTCTTTGGTCGGCATGGTCCTTAGTAAGTCCATTTGGACTGGGCCTTAGCAATGCTTTTGGGCCTGTCGGGCCCAGTCCAGAACAGGAGCCCCTCAAGTCGCGGTTCCTTTGTGAGGAGCCATGGCTTGAACTCAGGTCGTTTCCTCATCGAGGTCTCGCGCCCGGGACAGAGGTGCAGACCCTCGAGGGCCTCTTCGTGCCGTGCTCGGGGACATCTTCCGCGGTGGATTCCTGGAGGATCCTCCCGGGGCGTGTCCGTCGAGCACGCGAGGTATCTTTCGGGGACTGTGCCGCCACCCTATGGGGATAGGGTCATCATTGCATTGGGAGTGACGCATCAGGGAGAGAGACTCCGTGTTTGCCCGAGGTGACGTTTGGTATTCCACGTCATCACTATAAATAGGAACCTTGGGCCCCATAACACGTTTCTATTCTTTGTGCTCTCTCTGCTGTTGCTCTTCCAGATTTTTCCCAGTCGCGATCTTCTGTCACAGATTCTTTTACTCCGTAGCCGAATCCTACTTTTTGATTCAAGTAAGTGGTTTATCTTCTTCATTTTCCTGTTATAATGCATGATTTTCAGCGTTTGTAGATGTTTTAGGGACTGTGCGCGTGGGACTAGCCCGATAAACTCATACTTAGCTCGACATATTCATGTTTATGATCGGCAAACGCATGCTTATGGCCGGAGTATTCATAGTTTTAAGTGATAAACTTCAGCGCTGCCCAGGGTCTTCATGATCCAGGGCGCCTGATTCATGATCGCGCCCGGTATGTTCATGGTCCTGGCCGTGGGTCTCATGACGTTGCTCGCCATGTTCATACCTTGGGTCGACATGTTGGAGAGTGGCCGCGTAGTCGGTTTGAAGAAGAACACATCGAGTTTTCGGAATGTCGGGGAGGCGACCACTCGTGTAAACTGACTTTGTGGTCGTGCATGGGACGACGTGGTTTTTCGAGCGTATGGCTTCGTGCCCAATTGACTGGTTTCCCGTGCTCTGCAGGCAACCATGGCGGACGAGTCGTGCTCCTCTGGGCGCCACGATCGTGAAGAACAAAGTGCCGACGAGTCGGTCAGCTTGATTGATACTGTTGACGACCCTTTGCTGGATTGGGTGGGCGCTGAGCCCCGAGGGATCGCGTCGATATACAGCCGAGGCGACCGAAGTCCATATGCTGTCCTCGAAGCGGGCTAGGACCAGCCCGACTTCCAAAAGAATTTCGTCGTCATGCGCCCGTCCTCCCGTTCACGGATCTGCTCGGTGTATCCAGAGTATAGCTTCGCGATGTACGAGATCGCGTTCAAAGATCTTGGGCTGCAGCTGCCCTTCAGTGATTTCCAGGTCGGGGTCTTCACTCATCTGGAGTTGGCCCCGTCTCAGTTACATCCGAACTCACTCGCCTTTATCTGGGCGTTTGAGCTGACGTGTCGCTTTCTGAGGATCGGGGCGACCATATCTCTCTTCTTCAGGATTTTTCATCTGCAGCGCCAGTCTCGAGGAGGGAAACACAGCTGGGTCTCCTTGAAGCAGTCGAGGAGACTCTTCAAAATGTATATGGACTCCGTAAGGGGTTTTAAAGACAAGTGGTACGTTGTGCGGCCAGTTACCACCTCTGCTTTGGGATCCCTGTACGAGGAGGAGGAGCCCCTCAGTGATGATGACGGGGAGACGGTTTTGGGCGATGATGGGAATCCTGTGATGGCCCGTACGGCCAAGTTCCCTGTGCA